TCTGGCTACCTAGTTTGCAAAAAGTTCATCAGGCAATAAGCTTTGAACAGAGAACCATTCCATCCTCCAGACATAATGGGCTCCCTAATCCTGGCCAGTCATCTTGAAAACACACTTAGAGCAAAGAGATACAGTAGGAAGATAGATCATTACGATCCTAGGTCTAAAACCTAGAGGTCAGCTAGTCAAACCCCTTCCCTTGCCTTTTACAGATTTGGAAACTGAGACCCAGAGAAGAGACCTGTCCAAGGTCACATAGGTAGTAAATAGTAAAGCCAGGATTTGAACCCAGGTTCTCTGACACCAGATCCAGTGTTCTTTCAGCTAAATCACACTGCCTGTAGTTTTATTTGTTCTGATACTTACTAATATGGTAACTAGAGACAAATCATTTACCCTCTGCCCCACCCTTCCCTCCCTAGCCACAATTTTCTCATCCATAAAATAGGAATGATGAGATTTAGACTATCTTCCTCACTATACTGTTGCGAAGAGAGCATTTTATAAATTGTAAAGTATCGCAAAGGGGAGAAGGACTGAGCGCGGATGACTCAATGCCACCTATGCCTACTTCTAGGAAAAATAATGGAATCATTCATCCAGCTTGACCTGGAATTGGGGGTCTTCATTGTTAGGCACTGGGCCATTCCTGGACAGAATCTTCAAATAACTAAAGGAAAACACCTCTACTTTTGCAATATGAGGTATGTAAGACAAGCTGGTGAAGGGTGGGGTGATATGACCTTCACAAAACTATTGCCATGTAAGAGATAATGAAATTGAAACATGGAGAGTAGGGAGAAAACTGGCCTCCAGGTCACATAAGGGCAGGACCAAACCTAGAACCCAGGTGTCCTGACTCCCAGTTCAGGGTGTCTGTCTCTCTCCTCTCCCCAGACCTCCTTCTACTTCTGTAGATCAGTAAGTAGTCTGTAAATAAGATGACTTGCCCACAGTAACACAGTTATTAGGTGATAGAGTCAGAATTTGAACTCAGGTGTACCTGACTTCAAGGCTTATCCTCAACAACACTCCCTCTCTCAGGATTCCTTCTACTCTGCCCACCTCCCACTCCCCATTCAGGGCAGCAAGTGGAGCTGCCAGAACAGTCATGGATGCACAGAAGAAATCAAGAGAGGAAGCTGAGAAGGAAGCACAGACAAGCAGGACAGTTCTGAAAGTAACGTGTGGAATTTATTACACTTAAAATTTTTATCTTTGTATTTATTTTAATTACCTAAATTTCTCCATGACCCTTCCTCCCATCCTCCTGCCAGAAAGACATCTCATATGAAAGACTTTTTAAGAAATCAAGTTGTGTTCATCCTTTGTTCTCAGAGGACCAATGACTGCACGAGGGTGATGCCTTAGACTTGAGTGTGAATTGGATTTAAGTGAGATAGAGTCATCAGCCTCACCTTGTGCTCCCCTCCAAGATCATTAAGACAAAGGTCAAGACAAGTGCTAACCGCCCCAAGAAATCAGTGGTACAAAATGGAGATTCACGCGTTTATACAATTTCTTTTTGTGTTTTATGGAAATGCTCTTTTTTTGGTTTATTCAAAAGAATATAAAATTATATACAACAAAACAAAAATCCCCAAAGTCTGAAGGTAGGTTTGCCTTCTCTTTGTAAGGTTTTTTGGTTCTTCATGAAAGGCTCAAGCCTGGGGTGGTGATGTTTGAGGAGGAGAGGGGTATGAGGTGTAGAGGAGGGAGAGGCAGACAGAAGGATGGTGTAGGACCAAGAGGCCGAGCCAATGCATCCTTTGTTGCATTTCAGTGGTTTTGGAGATGGTAAGCATGGCCTATTGGTTGGAGGAGCTGCCTCACTCTGGGGGCTGATGTCAGTTTCTCCTGGCCCTGCTGTTTCAGGAAGCAGATGCTCGGGCTAGGACTCCAGGACCTTGGCTTGCTGTAATCAGTTTGGGAACACTTTTTCCCATGGAAGCAAGTGAGGGTGTTTGAGCTTCGACCTAGGAAATATCTTGGAGGAGGCAAGAAAAAAAAATGGGGAATGAGAACTTGGAGGAGCAAAGAGGGGAGAGGGTTGTTGGACAAGTTTTTGGGTGCCCTGTGCTATCTGGAAAACTTGGCCAAATGACTCATTCATTCCCTGAAGGTTCAGGAGGGGAGAGGTTTTGTTTTACACCATGACAAGCCTTTTCTGTATTTTATAGGAGCTGCTGCCTAGAACCCTTCCATAACATGGCTTATTACTGTCCTACAGAGATTCCTTGAAATTATGGCATCAGTGGAGAGAGCCCTGCGCTGAGTCAGAGGACCTGGGTTTGCACTTCTGTTGTATTGACTAGATTATTGACTTTAGGCACATCACTTAATCTCAGTGGTCCTCCGTTTCCTCTTCTGCCAAAAGAGGAGGATGGACAAAATTATCTTTATAGCAGTTTCCCCACCCCTGCTCTAGGGTTTCTTCCCATTCTAAGGATTTATCAATCTACATAACAGCTATATCAGAGACTAACAGCACTGAGTACAGGGTAAGTACTTAAGAAAAGTCGATTAGTAAAAGCCTATTATTTGTCCTATGCCTCCTCCCCTCCTTTCTTACTTTCTGTGGTCAGTCAGTTTCCAAGAAGGGCCAATTCTATTTCCTCAGCATTTCTCCATCTATCTCTCCAAATCCACTGTCACCACCTTAATTCAGGCTATGTTCCCCTATCTTAATAGTGTCCTAAGTTGTCTCCTTTCCCTTTCCAAATTCATTCTTCATAAATCTTGACTGAATATTTTCCCCAAGGGACAGTTTTAACAATGCCACTCTTGCTAAAAACAAAAACAATAAAACAAACCTTCAGTGCCTTAGTCTGGCATTCAATGCTCTCCACAATCTGGGATCCAAAAGACCTTTCTAACCTTATCTTCACATTATTTCATTGGCCAGCATGACCATTTCAGAGATATTTTATCCACATATGGGAGTGATCTTCCTAGAACAGTACCTACCTTCTGATACTATAGTGGCTGAAAGCTGTCTGGCTCTGGTGAGATTCCTCCCAGCTGGGAGATTCTGTGATTGTGGGTTTCAAGTTAGGGTCATATATCATAGATTCAGAATCAGAAGGGACCTTTGCTGTCCACCCACCTTGTTTTACATATATGGAAACCGAAGCCCACGGATACAAGGTGATATCCCAAGATCAGCTATCATAGTTAAGGGGAGGGTCAGGATTTGAACCAAGGGCTTCTGTCTCCAAATCAAGGGCTCTTTCCATCGTAGAATGCTGATGTTGACTTAGAGCCTTGGCATTTCAGGGGAGCAGATCTTATAGGTGATCCTTTCAGGCTTCTTTATTATACAGAAGAGGAAAACAAGGTCCAGGGAGGTAAATAAAAACTAACATTGATATAGTGCTTTAAGCTTTACAAAGTCCTTCACATATATTAATCATATTTGATTCTCTAAACTCTATGAAGTGGATGCTAATATTATCATCCCCACTTTACAGATGAGGAAACTGAGGCTGACAGGGGTCCAGAGACTTGCCCAGAGTCACTGAGTGGTTACATGGCCAGATTCTAAGTGCTTCCTGACCTTGTCCAGAGCTATGATCACAGTGCCATCTAGCGTCTCATTTATGGGAGTGATTTGCCTCAGTCAGCATTGGAATCTGGATTAGAACCCAAGCTCCTGGCTACCATTCTTGGGCTCTTTACATCAAGTCAAGTAAAAAAAAGTATTGATTAAGCCCCTACTGTGTGCAAGGCATTGTCCTAAGTGCTGGGATACAGAGAAAGGCAAAAGACAGTCCCTGCTCTCAAGGAACTCACAGTATAATGGGGGAGAAAACAACCACAGCAACAATATAATAGTAATAGGTTTTTTTTTAGCATTTCTATATCGCCCACTAGGTGTCAGGCACAATGCTAAGCACTTAGTAATATTATCTCATTTGATCCTTATAACAACCTGGGGAGGTGGGTACTATTATTATCTCTGTTTTAGGCAGAAACTGAGGCAGTGGTTAAGTGATTTTCCCATGGTCACACTGCTGGTATCTGAGGCTGGACTTGAGCTCAGGTCTTCCTGACTCCAAGGGCAGCCACTGAACCACCTAGATGCTTCATGCATGTCACATGTCAGCATTAAAACAATTCTGTGCAAACAAGACGCATAAGGGATGTTATGGAGATAATCAAGACAGGGAAGGTGCTAGAATAAAGGGGGCCTTGGCTCTGTAACCCCTCCAGGCAGATCTTGGATTCCTTTCTCCAGCCAGAAGAAAATCATCGGGGGGGGGGGGCATAACAACATAATTTACTTTTTCTTTTTTTTTAGGCAATTGGGGTTAAGTGACTTGCCCTGGGTCACACAGCTGGTAAGTGTCAAGTGTTTGGTCTGAGGCCACATTTGAACTCAGGTCCTCCTGACTTCAGGGCTGGTGCTCTATGCACTGCGCCACCTACCTACCCCGTAATTTACTTTTCTTGAACACAACAAAAAACAGGATCACAAGAGACCCCTCTCTCAGTCTCTGCCTTCGGGTGCCATGAGAAACACTTGCTATAGAAAGTGGGGTTTTTTAGTTGGGAGCTGAAGAAAGCCAGAAGGCAGAGAGGGGAGGGGAGAGCACTGGGGGTGTGGGAGACAGCCAGAGCAAATGCCTGGAGTCGGGAGATGGGCGATCTCGTTGGAGGAACAGCAAAGAAGCTAGTGTCGCTGGATCACCCGGAGCCGTGGGATGTAAGGTGTAAGAAGTCGGGAAAGGCGGAGGGAGCGTCACGAAGAGCTTTGCAAAACAGAATTTTGCATTTGCTCCCGGAGGCAATAGAGAGCCCCGGAGTTTGATGAGCAGGACTGTGGGAGAGTCAAACCTGCGCTTTGGAGGACGGATTGGGGCGTGGAGGTTGAGGCAGGCGGACCCACCTCCTGGTTATTGCAATAGTCCAGGTGCGGGGTGACGAGGACACGTGGTTAGAGAGCAGGGGGCGTGGACAAGCGACGTCGCAAAGACGAAATTGACATCACAGACGTGAAATCGACCACTCTCTGCTTCCGTGCACTAGACTAGGCAGCTCAAGACAAATAACACGCAGAGGCTGAGGGCATTCCCCCCGCGGAGACGCGCGTGACTATTCCACGCGCGTGGTGCGAAACTCCCAAGGTGGAAGCTTCCCGCACCCGTACAGAGTCTCTGGACGGGGCTAGACGCCCGTTTCGCTGTCGTCGTTGTTGTTGTGTTTACTAAAAGTGAGTTCCGCGCTTCCCAGCCTCGGTCCCCCCTCAGTTGTTTCTGTTTTTTTTTTTTTTAGGAATCCCTAGCCTGGAGGGGAGGGGCCGTACGGATGGGGGCGGAGTCGGACGGATTGGGCGCGACCAAGGTTGGGGGGCGTGGCCTGAAAGCCTTCCAGTCCTCCCTCCCCTTCCTATCTCCTCGCCTCCGGCGCCCACCGGAAAAGGCGGGGCCATAATGAGTGGGCGTGGCCTGAGGCCTCTCCCTCCTTTCTTTGGCTCTTTTGCTTTAGAGCCCAGCGGGGAGTCTCGGCCCATCTAAGAGGCGTGGCCGTGGGTAGGAGGCGTGGCCTGAGAGTCGCCTTATCCTTCTTTCCTTTTCGCCTGAGCGCAGCAGGGGGCGACCGGACTTCACAGTGACGCGTGGCGCGCACGCGGCGACGTGACGTCCTTACCTCGCGCCGCGCGCCCCTCGTACGTCATAACTCGGCGCCGCTGTCGCCGAGGAAGAGGTTGAGAGCGGTTACGCTGCAAGGGAGGCCGAGGCCGAGCAGGAGGTTCCGGAGCCGGTGAGGCAGGGACTAGGGGACTCTCGGGGCGCGGCAGGCACCCAAGCGGGCCGCGGCGAAGGGGGCAGGCCGACCTGGCCCGGAGCGGGCTGTCTGTCCGGAGGGGCCTCGGAGGCTTTCCCGCCTAAGGGTTCCCCTCGCCGGGGAGGTGGGAGCGGAGAGCCTCGGCTCTCCGGGGCGGGGAGCGCTTCGGGAAGGCCGCGGGGGGTACAGGGGACAGCGTGCCCGCCTCAGACCCCCACTAACTCGGGGGCTTGGGCGGGTCCCGGGCCCTCCGCAAAAGGGGTCCTCCAGGTTGTGTGAAGAGCGGCGGGAGGGGCCTGCTCTGTGGGGACGATGCCGCGGTAGATGACCGCGAGCTCCTCCCCAGCCCTCGAGGCCGCTTGGGCCTGAAGCGTGCCGGGAGAATGCTTTCGTGTCTGACACGCACGAAGGCCTGAGTGGGCGGTGTTGGTCATGGGGTCCATCAGAGGCCTGGCCCACCCCAGCTAAAGCCTGCTTCCTCCACAGAACATCTGCCCATGTCCGTTCATCCCGGCCTGAAGAAATGAGTGTCCAGGTAAGCGTGGAGGCGGCCTTGGGCGTATAGCCGGGTTCGGCTCAGGCTGCGGAGCTTCCTGAGTGTCCTGGGCCTTGCAGAGATAAAAGTGAAACGTTCCCTGCCCTCGGGAGGCTTGCCTTCTCAAGAGGCGCCGCATACGCACAGTACTTTGGGGAATGGGGATCGAAGGTGGGCAGGCAGGGGGCTGGTCTGGGAGCAGGGATGCTTGGAGGCCGAGTGCCCACTCTGTGCATAGAGCGCCAGGCCTGGAGTCAGGAAAACCTGAGTTCAAATGTGGCCTCAGTTACTTCCCAGCTGGGTGACTCACTTAACCCTGTTTGCCTCAGTTTCCTCATCTGTACAATGAGCTGGAGAAGGAAATGGCAAACCACTAAGCATCTTTGCCAAGAAAACCCCAGCTGAAGTCACAAAGGGTTAGACGGGACAGAAACAACTGAACAAGTCATTTGCTCTTTGCAAGGCCATGTGAAGGTGGTATAAAAATGTCTAAGAGTATGCTCCTGACCTTTTAAAGTTATGTAGTTGAGGTGAAATGAGATAAACACACCAAAAGATAACAGTTTCTTTGCTGGCGGCACCTTTTTTACTGTGTGTAAAAGGTGACCTCCCTGTACCTTGTCTGTTGGTCTGGGAAGCCTCTGTGCTCCTCTGGTTCCAGATCTTTGTTCCTGTGGCCCAAGACAGTCTGAGATTGTTAGTGGAGTTTAGAGTCTGGACAAGGGGCAGTCAGGGAAGATTCCTGTGGAAATTTTGTGGGAGGGAGGAGGGGGTGGAGAGAGAAGGTCTGTTTTTGAGCTCTGACCAATTGTGTAATGTGATTACTCTTCTTTTTTCAGTATAGCATTCTCTTCAAACAAGAACAAGGTATGAAAACACTGTCTTCTGGCCCTTCATTTCTCATCAGAAAGCAACAGCTTTAAAAGTTCCTTGTTCTGCAGAGCTGCAGTTCCTGAGCCCATCTTTACTTTGCCTTGTGTGTTTTTAAGCCATACATTGGATCACTTGCTATGATTGAAAAAATTCAGTACCCTTCAGCCAGCCTCATGTGGAACCTCTCTCTCTAAACCTAACCAGGCTCGTCTTTAGGCATCAGATGTAAATTCCTTTTTGACTACATGGTTATTACCCATGATCACACAACAAATTAGTGTTAGAGATGGGACTAGAACTTAGGTCTTCTGATGTTAAATACAGTTTGTCAAAGACCTCTAGCACTGTCCCAGACAGCTAGAGCCTCCAGCCCACAGATTGAAATATTTACCCAAGTGATGTGATGGTACTGGAGGCAGCATGCTGTAGTGGGTAGCAAGTGGGCCTCTGAGGCAGACCCAAGTTCAGATCCTGTGGGTTACTTCCTTACTCGGCGACCCTGGACAAGTCACTTAGGCTCATTCTGCTGCCAGCAACTCTCTGCATCTTTTTAAGTTGCAAAGAAAGTGTGGCTATGCAATGGGAGAAAAAATTCCTCACTAGATGTTCCCTATAATAATGAAATCACAGGTCTGGTCTGGAAAAGATAGCTCTGGGCAGATAATATTTTAATCCGTCGAAGATCTGTAAGTGTATGACATTCTCTGTGCCACTGGGCTGGGTTTCATGATTTCTAGGGAACTTTCCAGCTGCCACCTCTTCTCCCTGCCCCCCTCCTGCCAATGTTCTGTTCTGCAGTTTAAGGCTGTTTTAATGTTTTTGTTTGAATAGAAAGGTAATACTCCAAACCCCTTCATTAATGGAGGTATAGAACTAGATGTATAAATTTTATAAACATGTGATTGAAACATACTTTAGTATCTCAAAGATTTGTGATTTCATTTGTTGTGGATATTCACTCTGCCTGAGGACTCCCCATCATAACAGATATCTTTTTGAGTTCTTGTGCTTGAAGCATTTTATCACCTCATGACTCACCCTCTTGTGATGAATAATCATTTTTCCCTGCCCTAGCTCATGATGATGCCATCTGGTCAGTTGCCTGGGGGATGAATCAAAGAGAGAACTCTGAAATGATTGTATCAGGATCCTTGGATGATCTAGTCAAAGTGTGGAAATGGTAAGTTGATTTTTCTAGGAGCTAATGCTTCATAAATGAAGTTTTTGAGTTCTCATCAGGTTACAGGATCTTTTTCTTTTGGCTTCAGCAGTGGTGAATTTAAGTTGCAAAAAGAGATATACGTTTATGTGTATGTGGGAATTTGTTTTACCAAACTATGTGGATCTGTATTGAGGGATTTGTGATATCTTTGTTTTTGTTTGCTGTTGTTGTTTTTCAATTTGCTCTCGGAGTATGTATGTGGAGGGAGCTGGGATAGATTAATCAAAGAAATAGATTAATCAAAGAAACGTTTATTGCTTAGGAAAAAAAAAAAGACAATTACAACTACTGAAAAAACAAACCAGTGGTTGTAATCAGGAAAATATTGAGTTGTAGGAAAGGAGGGACAGCTGATGTTCTTCCAGCCTTATACCTTTCCGCGTGTAAGTTTAAAAGTCGTTCTAATGGCCTTTATCATATACAGATCATTAAGATGTTTTCACCTGCTCTCTGGCATTTAACCATATTTTGGGGATGCAGTCAAAACAAACCTGAGGGGAAAATGTATATCTCAAAACACTTTAATCAGCAAAAGAGAAAAAGGAGCATACAGCTTAAAGAAATAGAAAAATCATCAAATGAAGAACTCAGATAAATGTGCAAAGATATTGTAGAAATCAAAGAAGAAACAAAATTGAAAACAAAAAATGACTGAGTTGGTAAAAACTTCAAGCTATTTTTTTTTTCGGAAATGATTAATAATAGTAAAACCATTAACTACTTTGATTTTTTTAAAAAGAGGAGGAATAAATTACCAAAATCAAGATGAAAAAGGGAATCCATAATGAAGAAGAAATCAAGGAAATTGCTCAAAACCATATGTAAGGCTAATTATATGCCAACAAAGCTGAAAACTTAAATGGAGTAACATTTATAAAAATATCCAATTCAGATTAGTAAGATAAGAACTAGAACATTTAAACAACCCAATCTCAGAAACAAATCAAACAAGCCATAAGTTAACTCCCAAAGGAAAAAGCTAAGGGGTGGCCAGGATGGATTCACAAGTGAATTCTATCAAATATTAGCTCCTTTATTACATACATTTTTTACAAAAATAGATAACACCTCACCTTACCAAATTCCTTCTGTGAAACAAATATAAGCCTGATAGCCAAAATGGAGAGAGAGAAAATTATAGAGTCTCTCAATCTAATGAATATTGATGTAAAAATATTGAATAAGTTCTTACCACAGAGGCTGGATCTATCTCAGAAAAGCAGGGAAGGTTCAACATTTGGAAAACCTCAATCGTAACAGATTGTGTTAATAACAGAAATAACAGTCATCCATAGATGAAGAAAAGGCCTTTGACAAGATAATTTTATATAAAAAAACACTGAAAATCATAGGAATAACTGTACCTTTCCTTAATGTGATAGATATTACCTGTTTAAAACCAAGAGCTAGCATTTAGGGAGTGGGGAGGCCTTTCCAGTAAGATGATGAGTAAAGTAAGAATGACCACTGCCACTTTTACTATCTGATTTAGTTTTAGAAATGCTTGCTATAGCAATAAAAGAAGGAAAACAAATTAGAGGTGTAAGCATAAGCAAAATTATCTCTAGTGCAGTTGCAGAGCACCAGACATAAAGTCAGGAAGTGTGAATTCACATCTGGCCTCTGCAACTTACCGTTTTCCTGAGCAAGTCACTTAACCTCTGTCTGACTCAGTTCCCTCATCTGAAAAATGGGGCTAATAATAGCACCTACCTGCCAGGGTTATTTTCAGGACAAAAATGAGATGCTGTTTGTAAAGAACTTTGCCGGTCTCAAAGAGCTCCAAAATGGTACCTGTTGTTATTTGCTGGTGAGAGGGTGGACCAGTTAAAGAATCTTTGAGATTCAAAGAAAAAAATGGAAACATTTGTCATTTGAGTCAAGTAAGACTAGGATAAGCAAGATCCCGAAGCAATCAAGCCTCAGTGTCTGTTTGGTAAATCTGAGGGGAGCATCTGCTAAGAACAGGATGTTCTATTCATGATAAACTGTTGAAAAAGACTGGGAAGCAGCTGGGCACAATTGAAGCTTATGTCACTGATCTTATACAGTAATTTACCCTGAAAAGCTTTGAGTAGATAAATAACCCAAGTATAAAGGATGCCTTTGTTTAAAAAAAAATAATTAGAGGATAATGGAAAAAGGCACCTCGTAAAACTGGCTAGGGAGAGGATTCCTAACCAAACCAAGGGGTAGCGGTGCTCAAATGACGTAACATGTAAAGTGTTACGGAAACCCTAAAGTGCCGTATAAATGCCAGCTGGCTGTTACTGAAGAAGACAAAGTGAACAGTTTCGATCATATAAAATAGATGAGCTTTTGCATGAACACAATAATGCGGCTAGATGTAGAAGCAGTTAATGGTTAAAAAAAATCTTTGAAATAACTTGTCTGATGAAGGTCAGATATTTGAAATATACAGAAATATATGTGCTTTGACACATATTACAGGCCTCAGTGACCTTAGCTCTAAAATGAAGGGCTTGTGCTGTGCGGCCTCTGGATCCGTTCTTTGAAACAGATCTCTTATGAAAGTCCAGTGTTTAAACTGTCTAGAGAATTTGATACACGCATGTAAGAACAAGAGACCTACAACACTTGTTAACTGTGTAGCCCTGGGCAAGCTCACTTAGCTGATGTCTGCCTCAGTTTCCTTAGCTGTAAAATGGGAATAATAACAGCACCTACCTCAAAGTGGTTGGGAGGCTCCAATGAGAGAATAGTTGTAATGTGCTTGGCACATAGTAGGTGCTTAATAAATCCTTGTTCCTCCGTGCCTCAATAGATTATCATAGCTTTAGAGTCAGGAGGGATCCCAGAGACCGTATAGTGAAACCCTCTTTTGTTCTAAATAAGTTAACTTTTGAGGTCTGCAGAGTGACTTGCCCAAGGTCATGTAGGTAGTACATGTCAGAAACAGGATTTGAATTCACGTGCTTTGACTCAAGAGCCAGTGCTTTCCACTGTACCACATGGACTGTAGGTGCAAACTAAAGCTCATGTTGTGAGACATGGCCAGTGTGATCATCTGTTTGGCTTGACAGTACTCCCTTGTTAGGAGGGAGGGAATAGTCATGGGAAGGTGACACTGATGCAACGACGTGCATCAGTGAAACATTTAAGAAAGACTTTCCTTCCTTCCTTCCCTTCCTTTCTTCCTTCTTCCCTCCTCCCCTCCCTTCCTTTCCTCCCTCCCTTCCTTCATCCTTCCCATCCTCCCTCCCTCACTTGCTATTGGGATAATATGAGATGAAGCTCCTTGTAAGTCGGAATGCCACACAGAAGTGTCCACTATTATAATTGTTGTCATATTCTTTTATGTATTGCCATGTGGCAGCCACTTAGTGGCCGTCTGCTGGTCCGTGGACAGCAGACACTGTTGCTCTTTGCTTAGTTTCGTGTTCATGCTTGTCCAGCTCAGCTCCTTCCTATGATTGATTGTGTCTCATGGAAATGATTAGTTATGCAGAACGGACATCCAGAATGTTTGTGTTCTGTCACTCGATGGACCTCAGGTGAAGTATTAAATGGCCATTTCACCTTCACCACTTTCCCCCTTTCCTCTTGTTGAAGGAAAAATGAGAAGCTGGAGTTACAGTGGAGTCTGGAGGGCCATCAGTTGGGTGTGGTGTCAGTGGACATCAGTCAGACTGGGGCCATCGCCGCGTCCAGTTCTCTTGATGCTCATATTCGTCTGTGGGATTTGGAAAATGGCAAACAGATGAAGTCTATCGATGCTGGCCCAGGTAAGAGGGAGCTGCTTCTTTTTTTTTGGCACAAGATAAAGGCAGGCTGTTGCTGAAGAGACAGAGTTTCATAGAAATTCTGATAGGGCAAATCTCTGGCCTCATCGAGCAAATGTTTTGTGTGATTTTTAGCTCTTTGCAATATTTCCTTTAGTTATCTATAAAAGTGTTTTGTATAATTGATGACTGATCGGAAAGTGCACATTCCCAGTGCCAAAGTAATTCCTTTTGTGTGTCCTAATCTCCCATCCTTACCTGCTTCAGGATGCTTAGCCCTCCCTCAGACTCACTTGGATTAGTGAAGTTTCCTGCAGCTGCCTGCATATCATGGAAAGAGTCATGCTTTATTCAGCCATGAACACCGCTGCCTTTCATGCACACAGTAGGGGCGTCAGTGGTTGCTTTTGGAAAGTTGATCAAACACTTTTCTCCCCCTGCCCTGGGGAGTGGATGGTGCAAGCCTGACCTTCATTCCACAGTGAGGGAGGAGTGTGAAATTTCATCGCTGCTTAATTACATTCTGTTCGGTTAGACTGTTACAAAAGCAGCGCAGGGTAGTTTTACCTAGTGCTGGTGGGTCATTGCCAAGAAACATGATTATTAGTCTTTTTTATTATGAAAGAAATGTGCTGGGATCTAGGGCTGTGCCTGTGCCCTGGTCTTTTTGAAGAGACCGTTTGAGTGTTCTGGTGACTCAGCTTCTTGAAGGCAGAGACTTTGTTGTAATTATCCTGGTGTCTTTCATTGCCCAGCACAGGGTCTGTATGAAGTAGGCACGCAACAGATACTTGAACTGATTTGAGTTCCCTTTAGTAGCTACAGCAACTCATCTCATGGACCATAGACTCTCTGTTGAATAATGGTACGAGGTTTGAGTATTCACTAAGCAGTAGTGACATTCCAGGTTCCAAGCTCAGAACCAGAAGTTTGAGAAATAGATGGTCTTATCCAGAATGTGCCTGGGGTTAGGATTGGAAACCGTATCTGCAAATAAGCATGTGAAATATATTTATGGAAGCAAAATATGAGAATTGAAAGCTGAGTTATGGAATTTATAAAATGCATCAAACAGTGACTTGTGTAAAACAACAAATGGTGAACGGTTTGTTAAATTTTGTAATGCAAAAATGTATAATTTAGTTTAAAAAAAAAACCAAGCCAAAAGAACAGCAGGCCGGAAGACCATGAAACAATCCCAGTAATTGTTCTCCTTTGCCTTTACAGTGGATGCCTGGTCCTTGGCTTTTTCACCTGATTCCCAGTTTTTGGCTACAGGAAGCCATGTGGGCAAAGTAAACATTTTTGGTGTTGAGACTGGGAAAAAGGAATACTCGTTGGATACAAGAGGGAAATTCATCCTCAGCATTGCCTACGTAAGTGATCCTTTCAGTCCTGGGCCCTAACTTCCTTTTGGTTATTTTCACTGCAGGTTTCTTCTCATCTCCCGTTTTGCTATACAAGTACAGTATATACATTGGGTGAGATTTATTCCCTAGGTCTGTTTAGGTGCAGCACTGGGCACATTAGGCCTGGGCCAACAGTCAGCAAGAGGTCTTAAAGGAAACTTTGTGATATAGGTTTGCAGGGTGACATGGTGGTGACTCTGACGCTCAGGCCCTGGATGGCCACGTTCTCTGGCACTCTTTGTATGACCAACATTTATCCTGCTTGTCTGCTACTTCTGTTAACATTTTTCATTCTTGTGGATTGCTTTACATTTTTGTAACTTGTTTTCATTCTTCCCTTGCTTTTCTTGGCAGAATTAGCACCTTCTCTTAATTCCACTAATATATTTATTACCCAGTTAGGTGACCTTTTTGTGTTCTGTCATTTCTGGTGCTGATTCAGCTGGCATTTCTGTGTTAGTTTTGTCTCTTGGTTCTTTTTTTACGTAAATTTTTTTTTTCAAATCGAAGTATTTCTTTGACTCGTTTGTTATATCAGGTAAGCTCCTGCCATTTACTGTTTTTATGGACTTTTTTTCCTTTTAATACAGAGGCAGCTGGATTTAAAATGAGCCCCCACCCTACTCCACCCATTGATTTGTATTCTTCTAGCCCAGGGATGGGGAACTGATTAGTTCTGTAAAATTTGGACTCAGTCCAAAGGCTGCCCTTAAGGATCTAGAAGGCCTCAGGCTTCCCACCCCTGGTCTAGCCTATGTGTGTTAGGGGTGGAGTTGTAGTGGTTGTTCTTAGATGCTTCTGGCCTCTTTGTTAGGATGGAGGAATGGAAGATGTAGTAGGAATAAAGCTTTAGTGGTTGTTTCTTGCTGTTTGGAGCTCTTATTTCAGAGTGTCTACAGGTTGCCTCCCCCCCCAGTGACCTTCCACCAATCCTCCTTCCTTGCTCTCCCTCCCAACATTGGGGGCAGCTTGGGATAGTAACGGTGGCATCTGCTTTTTGTCCCAGGGTTGGGGGTAAGGTGGGTATTGCTCCCTGGCTCTGGTGGTGTCTGGAGCACCTCAAACCCTGCTCCCTCCCCTCTCCCCTGCCTAGATAGTGCTGGTGAGGTGCTGGCTGCTTTTGGACCCATCCTCTTTGCTTTCTGCTGCTTTGCTTTTTTCTCTCTGCTTTCCCCTTCACTGCTACTTTATCACTTTGCTCTAATTTTGTTTTTTAAATGCTTGAGGATTGCTTTTATTTACCAGTGGTGGCTATAGAGTATTTATATTTCTTTTGTTTTAGAGTGAGTAAAAGACCATTCCACTAAAGTTCAGATGAAATTTTATATGTATGTGCCTGTGTATATGTATATCTAAATGTCTGTGTAGGTGTATATGTATATGTAGTGCACTGTTCCCACACAGGCCTCTATTAATGTCAGCTGTTACTATGTCAATGCCCTCTTGCAGAGTCCTGATGGGAAGTATCTGGCTAGTGGAGCCATAGATGGAATCATTAATATTTTTGATATTGCAACTGGAAAACTTCTCCATACGCTTGAAGGTATGTGTCTTTGCACATATACAGAAGCCATGCTGTGTCAGCGATCCAGTCATCTCTTTAGATAACAGTATTGCTAGATGGCGAATGAGTTTTGTATTTGGAAACCCAGGAGATAACGATTTCAGTGATATCCAGATGAAGCTTGATGGAGTGATGAACACTGATTGTGTTGGCTGAAACATGGTGGTGCTCGGGTGGGAGTGGAGCAGAACTACTAAGGCAGAACAGGTCGGGGCGAGAAGGTTCTGTGTGTCCCATGGGACACCCTGGCAGCAGCGCCAGGAATTGGCCAGCGGACAGCTGAGGAGGACCGTCTCAAGAAGCAGAGCCTCGGTCAGTGGAATTTCTTCTCCCAGATTAATAGTATCTATTCTAAATTTCAGGCCATGCAATGCCCATCCGCTCTTTGACCTTCTCCCCAGATTCACAGCTACTTGTCACGGCTTCAGATGATGGCTACATTAAGATTTATGATGTGTAAGTTGCTGTTTCCAATGAAAGCGTTATGGTGAACACATGCAATGCCTCGGTCAGTCGGCAAGGGTTTGACTGTCGGGATCAGTTCTGTGGGCCAAGCCCTTTGTACGTTGGAACACATTGGAGCATATGGATTGTCATCTGAGCGGGAGGACCTTCGGAATTCCTGACTGAGGATGCCCTTTTCTCCCCTTACTTCCCCTGTCTTCAGACTTTGGGGATAGGCTGTGTGGCAGGGTTAATGAATAATGAGCATTCTTCTCCTTCTTATCACTTAAATATCCAAATGGCTCTGCGATCTCCTTGGCATGGCCGTTCCCACCCACACCTGCCCATTTTGTGCGGCTCTTGTCTGTAGCCTTCAGCACTCTCACCCAGGTTATCCAGCTAATAGGTGAGGCCCTCCCTTCTTTCCCAGCATAGTAGAGAGGCCATCAAGAAACAGCAGCTGAGCTTTAGTTTTCTCTCACTCTCACCATATGACTAACTCATCTTGTTCGCTTACATGCTTCTTTTTAAAAACTCTTTTACTCTGGTCTCCTTCATGATTCCTTGTTGGTTATTTGTTGCAGCCTACTCACATTTATCTTTCACTGCATTTCTCTGGCTTATGAGGCAGTACTAATAATGGCTAGCATTTGTAGGGCTCTTTAGAGTTTGCGTAGGTTTTTTTTACAAATGATGTGTCATTTTGTCCTCAAAACAACCCTGGGAGATAGGTGGTATTATCTCCATTTTACAGATGGGGAAACTGAGGCAGACAGGTTAAATGACTTGCCCAGAGTCACACAGCTAGTAAGTGTCTGTGGCTATATTTAAACCCAGGCATTCCTCATTCCAGGTCCAGCGTTCTACCCACTGTGCCATTTAACTGCCTTCAAATGGATTTATTTTTACAAATCTTTATATTTCTAATTGTTTTTATTTTTCTTCTTCTTCATTGGTATTATACAGATAGTGAGTCCCATATTGGTGATGGCGAGTTTTATCAGACTTTGAAATGAAGAGAGTGTAGGGTCAAAATGTGAACCTTTGACCCAAAGTATCCCTCACTAGCCAGTAACAAAGAGTAGGATAATTCAGTGTTCTTACCTATGATATTGGAGCCATTTCCAAAGACCACCCTCTTTTTCTCCTTTTGAGAGTTGAGGATTTTTGTCTTGGTTAGGTAAGTGTCTTATCTTATCCTGGAAGTGTCCCAGAATCTCAGACTGAGAAGGAAGCCCAGCACTGATGTTGTATACCCTGGCCAGCACAGAAGTCTCTGACTAGCTCCTCACAGACATTCTAGACGTTTTGTGGATGGCACGAAGTTCTGTCCTAAAGTCATGGGGTGGGTTGCCAGAAAGGACTTCAGAAATACCCGAGGCGCATCTTTTTATTTGACAGTTAAGGGAACGGAAGTCCAGGAAGGGAGTGTGATGTGCCCCGGAGCCGGGGCGGTAATCCAGATCTCCCTTATCTCAGTCCTGAGGCCTTTTCACCACACCACACTGCTTGTAGCTGCAGCGTGAGATCAGAATAAATGGTGCCCCAGAGCCCTTGCAGCTCTAAAGGGTGTGGACTTCTGGCCTTCCTATGTTTTCAGCTGGTGCCTTAAGGGCAGGAAGCCTGAAACTGAACTCATTCTTCCCCCTAGACTTCTGTTTCTGGTGATGGGTCTGCAGTCTTCTAGACCTTGAGGCTGGTTACATCAGGGTCATCTCTTCTCTCATGTTCTATGCCAGGGATCGCTCTTCCCCAGCCAGTCACTGACCAAGTCCTTGCCAGGCTCCTCCTTCCTGATGCTCGTGCATCACCATGGCAGGAGAGCACGGGGGCTGGCGGAAGCAGCCTTGCTGAGCAGTGTTTCACGCTCTGGCTACGTACACTTCTTTGGTTCACTGTTAGACGGTTTGTGAGTGTCCTGCTTCAGCCAAGTCTGGCCCAGTCCACAGTACCTGTCCCGGTGCCCTCTGCTGCCTCCTTGACTCTGGCTGAAGGGAGCTCTTTCTCTCCTCACATTTTTCCTGATCTTTTGTCTGGACATTTTGTCTTGGCACATTTCACCTTTGATCATATGCTAATCTTCCTTACCTTGTTTCAGAGTTACTTGTGTTTGCTTGCTTCCTGCCCTCCTTCCCCGATTTGATTAAAAGCTACTTGAGCAGGATGGTACATGTCATGGCCTTTCCTTTATCCCCAGCATGAGCCTGGTGCTTTGCACATGGTGGGTATTTCATAAATGAGTGAGTGAGTGAATGTTCTGTTGCCAAACCAGAAAAAAGAGTTGGAACTCATTGATAAGGTGCTCACTGGCTCACGTTTTGTATTTGTGCTCTTGTTATCATCACTGATTACTTTTTCTTTGATTTTTGAAAAAGGAGTGATAATAGCCTTCATTTGATGGTAAAAGTAGTCATTCAGCCTGTCTTGTTCAAGATTGAATAGAATATCCCTCCACCCTATTTGAAGAGAGTGTTTTTTGCCAGTGCCTTATTCAGACATGAACCAGGCTGGAAAGGGCCCCAGCCCTAGAATCCAGTCCTGGCTCACTTAGGGGCTGGGAACAAGTCTGGCCTTGGTTTTCTCACTGGCACAGTTCTCCTTGGGATTAGATCACCTTGAAGGTCCCTTCCAGCTCTAGTGTTTTATAATAATAATAATAATAATAACTGACATTTCTATAGTGCTGTAACTGTTTACAAAGTCCTTAAGCAGCTATTCCCACTTTATAGAGGTTACACAAGCCAGTGAGTAATTGTAGGCAGGGGCTTAACTCAGTTCTTTTTGACTACACATTCAACACTATCTACTCTTCTGATGTAGCAGAAGCTTACATTTTTACCTAAGGTTTTATGTATTTCAGTAGATTTGTGGCCTGTTTCATGTGGCTGCTTCTCCAGCAGTGCAGAGTAGACCCCATCCATGTCTTCTTCCCCCGTGTGATTCTTGCCCATGTCCTTCCACAAACACTTCATAGATGAACCTAACCACATTGGAGACCTCTGAATGTGCTGTGGGTCCCAGGACAACCCTCCTTCGGTTTTCCCTCAGTCTTAACTGTGTGGCCATCATTTCCTGAATGACATCTGTATGCCTCTTCTTAGCCATGAGTCATCATTGGTAATGTGACAACAACCTGCTAATATTCTTGTTCTTTGGGTAATTCTCAATTTTGATTCTTCAGAGTCTGTGTTCCATGATTCATAGCCAGTAATCACCATTGAAAGAATGTAGATCTTAAAAGACAGTTTTCATATCGTAGATATTTTTTGCTTCCTTTCCCTTCTCAATTGAACTTTATTTCTCCCCCTTCACCCCCCCTGACAAAGGATAACAATTTAAGAAAAGCATTCGCTGCAGACGCCTTGTGTATTCCCTAGTGGTGTCCCTCTGCCCCCATCCCAGCTCTGTCCCAGCTGAGTTTCATCGTCTCGTCTCTGGAAACTTCACTGGTTTTCCCATTGCTCTTCTTTTTCTTTTCATTTGCATTGGTGTAGTCGTATCTCTTATTCCCTTGGTTCTCCTTATTTCCTTCTGTGTTTGTCAGATAAATCTTCCGAAATCCTTGTATTTGTCATTTTCTACAGCACAGTAGTATTCCATGATAATCATCTTGTTCTGGGGGTTTTTTCAGCCATTACCCAAGTTGCCTAATTTGTTACTAGTTTTATTTTAGTTATTTATTTATTTTGCCACAAAGAGTACTGCCATGACAATTTTGTTACATATTGAATCTTTGTTTCTGTTTTTTATTTCCTTGGGGTAGATACCTGGAAGTAAGAATTCTGGGTCAGAGAATTACGGGCAGTTCAATCACTTTCTTGAACAATGACAGCTTGCACTATAGATCGGTTGCACCTTGTCATAGCTCATCCATGTTTCAGTGAGCCTAGCTGCCAAGCCTCCTCTAGCACCCACTGTCTCCGTCTTTTGTTCATCTTTACCAATTTGCACGCAGAAAGCTGAAACCTCAGAGTTATTAGACTTAGATTTCGCTTAGTATTTAGTGATTTTTGGAGTGGACATTTATTAATTTGAAAATCTTTTAAGAAGAATGTTCATTCGTATCTTTTGACTACTTGGGAAATGTGTCTTGTGGTCTATGTTTTGTTAATTTGGATGTTAGACTTATATTGGTGATATTTGATGCAAATATTTTCCCACCTCTAATTGTATTTCAATCTTTTGTGATCTGCCTTGCTCCTTATTTGGTTAGGAATTACCCCCGAGTTGCGTCTAGTTGTCAGGGATCAGCTAGAATCAATGAATATGGTGTACAATTTAGTGACTGCACACAGGCCTCCCTGTAGCCCCCTCTGCCCCACACTCTTTGTTGAAGATCTGTGTACTGATAGATAGCTCCATGCGCTGTCCTCCAGCTAGACCTCCGAGTCTGTGCAGTAGACGTTCTACATCCTTTTGGTTCTCCCTGTGTGGATTGTTAGCTGTGTCTCTTTTGAGTCTCTCTGGATCTCACTGCAGAGGCCCTCTAATATTCTGGGCCTTGATGTAATTATAGCGCAGTGTCATATATGAGCAGGAGCAGCTGGAGAATCTTATCATGGAGAGAGAGAGACCTTCACCTGTTATGTGCCACAAACCCCCTTGGCAGGCTGGTGAAGCCTATGGACCCCTCCTCAGAATAACTGTAAATTTTAAAATCCGTAATTCAAAGAAATGTTAAATTTTAGTTAGAGGTTAGTGAAAATAAAGATAGAGGTTTTTTTTCTCATCCAGATTCACTTGACACTCCTGAAATCTGTTCTAGAACCAAGATTAAGAACTCCAGATCTCTAGGAAATCCTTCTTCCACATCCTTCATGAAAATGAAGAACACCATCGGTGACCATAGAGAGATCTTTGTTATATTTCTCACTTGATATTTATCATCAAGATTACTGAACAGAATTATCTTTTTGGTGCTTGGTATCAAGGAGTCTCATGATTTTAACATCTTCAAGGACTATAACTTTTTGGAGAAGTCTACAAGCCTATTTTTTTGTTCTGCCAGGTCAAATATAATCAGTATACACAGTGGGATCATGTATTCTCTGTAACTTTTAGTCATTTGTATGACTCTGATGATGTCTGCTGTCAAAAATCATTTGTCAAAGACCACTTCCTTTCTCATTTTCATCAAGGATGACTTTGATATAGAGATAGTTCCTACATATTTAGACTATATACATGCTACATACACACACACACACACGTACACACAAGCACACGTGATGCATATAATGTTTTTATAAAGTTTTTGGAGATGTGTGAAAATAAATACAGGTTGGCAGTTATTAATGTTCTTTCCCGTACATTTTTAAATAATGCCATTTGTTGGTTTTTTTCCCTACTTCTTGGGTACCTTTTCTACTCGGCTATGTTGAAAATCCCTCGGTGTTCTCAAAATTTTGTCAACTCTAACACGGATTTTTTTTCTGGTCTTATTTGGTCTGGTCCACCTCTTCTTCCCATCTCCTTTGGTGTGATTCTTCTTCCTCTTCTGGAGCATAGGCAGGGAGGTGTTTGAGTCCAGATGTAGAGGTTCTAGTATCATCAGTGACAAAAAGTCTGTTACAGCAAGCAGCGCTGGCAGATCTCTTGTGCCCTTTTTTGTCTCTTTCTCATCTTTCCAGTTTTATCTATAAATGGTCTTTGGCTGACCTGGCTTAGTTGAGGCCTTCTCCTTTCACTGCCTATTGCTGTTTGGGGACCAATACTGTTTATAATCTCACATCATCATCCTCTTACCATTGTGAAGGAGGTTATATTTTAAGCCAGTGATCACCACCTTTTTCCACTTAGCAAGGAAATCAAGTGTTTTTGGTTTCTAGACCCTTTGGCTTCCTCATTGTGGGAACTGCTTTACAGAAGTTAAACTTCTATAGAAAATGGTGATTGTACCTATCAATGTCTTTTATCTGTTTTGTTTTAATAGGTAAGACTGGAGCTGCTGTAATTGCAAAGGGTCATCTTGACTCCTTATGTTTTTTCTTCACACAAGGCAGTGATTTTTGACCTTTGCTCTTGAGTTAATGGTTGAGTGCCCACAAACTGATCTTGAAATTATTCTCACGTCAGTAAACAGTCATATCTGTTAAGACGTATTCGCTTTCTTTTTCTTTTTTGATGTATTCAGTGCTCACCTCCAGTGCCTTCTGACTCTCTTGGAGAAAATTTAGTCACGTATTCTTGAGACTTCTGAATAGTCTGTAAATGTTCATTTTCTTTCATTTCTTAATCTTGAACTATCCTTTCCAGAGTATTTCTTCACCAGCATCCCGGTATGTCCACCTTAGCTTTGAAATCACTCAGAACGGGTGTGTCTTTTACCTTGGTTCGGAAAACCTTGCTGACGTTTGTGTAAAATTTCTATGCGTCTTGCGCCAGGGGTTGTTGCCGTTGTAAGAGTGTTTATCCTCATGCTGACCTTTGGCTCTTACTTTTTACGAGCATCGTAAGACGAGGCGATCAAGCACTGCAGTAAATCGTGTGCGTTGTCTTTGAAACGCCGACTTCTCCGCGCCTTTCTCTGTTCCTCAGGGTGTTGCAACTTCCCTGTATTTTCTGGTTCAACTTATAATAAGACTGTCATTATTAATATGGCTAATTTCCCCTGGTGTTGTGTGTCATACATTTTGGACATGGAGATTCCACATTGAGATTGTTATCAGTTAATGTTTGTAGACGATCCAGAAGCAGTGATTCCCAGCTCTGCCTTGTTTTCTGCTGTGCTGCCACTGTTATTCCGGAGGCAGAAGGGACCTGCGTGAGACCAGAGGCCTCATGGATTGTGGCGGCACCAAGGAATTCCCCACGTGGTCCCCAGTGTCCCCATGAGGAGTTTCACTGTGCTTAGGTAGGCTGGTCCTTGGACGGCAGGTACAGTCTGTTAGGAGGACTGTATTTGAAGCCCTCCCAGCTTGGTAGAACCTGCTAGAGCTGGCTGCCTTCAGGAACCGAGGGTCACCATCACACTAACACGAGGCTTCAAGGAGGGTTTCTGAAACATACTACACAGGCATTATTCTCTCCAATCCCTAAGCCAGCCCTGAGCAGTATGTAGAAGTAGTGTCATTCAACAGATTAGAAAACCGATGGCCAAAGAGGTGCAGATAGGATCTTTGATGAGTGTGGGAGAGTAAGAGAGGTGTCACAGAAGTAGAGGTCGTCGGTCAGAGGTTGCACCATGGTCACGGAAAGAAGAAAGCAGAGCCCCACAGTGACCAGACAGTGAGCGTGGGTCTGAGGTTCTTCTGGACTTTGGGCCAACCATGATCACGTTGCTGTTAGTAAGTAGTCGACCCAGTATGTGAACTGTGGTGCTTCTGACCCGGTTCTGTTCCACCGCCCTGACTCTCCGTGTAATCACAGAGACTTCTGTGTGTTGTGGGGCTGCAGAAATTCAACTTAATTTTGTTCTGCAATAGTGTAATATTTTTATAGAAAAGTGCGATCTGGGCAGTTTCCAGAGTCTTCCTAAGGCTGTCAGGCTGATCAATCAATTGAAATTGTTATACTTACAATCTTTACTCGGAATGTATTTTCATTTGCTTTAAATCTGTTTCTCTTTTAACAGACAACATGCAAATTTGGCTGGCACGCTGAGTGGCCACGCATCCTGGGTGTTAAATGTTGCATTTTGTCCGGACGATATTCATTTTGTATCCAGGTACTGAGAATTCTTTTTAGTTGTACTTATTTTCAGTCTTGTGTGATTTTTCATGGCCTCATTTGAGGTTTTCTTGACAAAGATACTGGAATGGTCTGCCATCTCCCTCTCCGATTCATTTTACAGTTGAGGAAACTGAGGCAAATGGTGGTTAGGTGACTTGCCCAGGGTCCCATAGCTAGTTATCTGAACGCTGGTGTTATGACTGCGGGCCCAGTGCTCTGAGCACTCTGGCGCCACCTAGCTGCCTCTCAGGATTCCTAGTCCCTCCTCAAAGTAAAGGAGACTCAGGATCTCCACGTACATTTCTGTAAATGATTCTTACCTGTGAGGGGCAGTATTTTATTGTGGAATGTTGTGTTGGTGATGTTGACAAAGATCATCTCCTAGGTTCTTTTGTACAAGGGATAATTGTCCCCAGTTTCTCTCTAGCTTCACCTCACATGTTTGTTTAGAGCAAGTTAAACCCCTCTTGGGCCATCTCGGTCTCAGAATTCAGTGATCTGGTTGCTAAATGTCGGCCCTCTTGGCTCAGTATTTTAAATGATCCTGAAGTGGAAGGTGGCTCACTGGTTTCACTTTAATGTTTTCTAGCTCATCAGACAAAAGCGTCAAAGTTTGGGATGCCGGAACAAGAACTTGTGTCCACACGTTTTTTGATCACCAGGACCAGGTATTGTACACGTGCCTTGAGTCTTGAGGTTTCATGTGCCTGTGGGATTTTGGAGCCATAAGGGCTCCACAGTCCTTTGGCCTTACCAGCTGGCCATTTGAATTGACCTGGCTCAGTCTCATCTATTCTTTTTGATCATGAGGCAGCAGATAAAACAGGCACATCTTCTCATTGGCATTTACATAGGTCTTTCATCTCTCTCCTCTTTATTTCCACTGCTACCACCCTCATCTGGGCCTTTGTCCCTGATTTGCCTAGACCATTTCAAAAGCCCCTAGCCTGTCCCCTCTCTAAGCCATCTTTAACACAGTACCCCCAACAGTGGTTTTTCTGATTCACATCTGACTGTATCTTCTGCTCACAAATCCTCCGAAGCACTGTCTTATGTAAAGTCCAAGCTCAGAATGGCCACACTCTGGCACTTGTCACCACAGATGTCACTGCTTCCTTCCATGTACATCACACTCCAGTCACACTGGAATACGGCGTGTTTCCTCAGACGGGCCCTTTGTGTTTAATGCCCGGATGCCTTTTCGATGGTCTTCCTTCCCTCTCTCCAGAGTTCCCTGTCCCATGGCATTCTTCCTATCCTTTAAGACTCAGTGGAAATGTCTCTTCTTCTGTGAAACTGCTACACTGTCTTTCCTTCCCCCCCCTCAGAGCTCCTTTCCTTCCCCAAGCTTTCCTTCAGGAGCACTGGTGTTGGCCTGGCTTTTGTTGCTCTACTTTGGTTTCCTTTTATGCTTATTTCTGTAATGTGTCTCATCCCCTATTATTTAGTAAACCACACCTTGCACAGTGAGCATGTGCTTAATAAGTGTTTATGAAATTGAATTGGGCTGCAAACCTTAAGGCGAGTTTTTGAGGCCATTCTACCAGCTTTGGCCCCTGTTCAGTTAGAGTGGCCTGTGAAAATTCTGTACTTCAAAGGATGGAGAATCTTTCTGCCATTCATTCCATGAGCATTCATTATGTTCAGGTTGTAGTTCACTGTAGGAGAGATACAGAAATAAAGACACGGTGCCTGCCCTTAGAGAAGGCAGCGTCTGATAGATAAGGATCTTCCCGAAGTGGCTAATGGGCCAGAATATCTAGAGTGCTGGACTTGGGAGTTAGGAGGGCCCTGATGGGAAGCCATGTCTCCTTACCTACTCTGGGACTGTAGACGAGCCACGTAACTCTTAGGGCTTTCACCTCCTCGTCTCTGAAATGGGGTGTCCGCTTCTCTGGGTTGTTGTGAGGCAAAAGCGAAAGAATGCATGTAAAACATGTAGATATGTCAGAATGTGGTTGATCCCGTAAGACAGGTATACAGAGTGCTGTGAGGATTCAGAGAAATGACATTGGCTGGGGGGGAGTTGGAGGAGAAGTAGAGAGAGCGGATGGACAGGACCAACATCATCACTGGAGGGGGGCCTTGAAGGGTCAGGATTTCAGCAGGCAAAGATGGGAGCAAGAAGGGCATCCCAAGCATCAGGACCATGGGAGCAAAGGGACAGAGGCAGGAAATTATGGAAAGAGTGTAGGAAACTGCCGCTCAGGGCAGTGTGCCTGCACAGTGTGTGAGAGTGGTAGGAAATGCAGAAAACAGGCCAGAGCACTGAAGGCTGAAGAGTTTGGACTTTGTTAGTAGGCAAGACAGATTCCTTGACCATCTTTAAAGCAGGAGTAATGTGATTAGAGCTATGCTTTAGGAAGACAAAGGGACATCTTGTCAAGACCTCAGAGGCTTAGCTTCCCAATCAGATGTAGTCGAGGAAACCTGCATCCTCACAAAAAAAGTAGGTGCCACCAGCAGCTCTCATCCTGTATTGTGGCTGATGGGCTTTGTCTGGATACTACAGGAGCTGGAGAGAACTACATTTGACCATAGTCAGGCTTTGAAATCCTGTTTATCATTTTGAGACTCTTGAACGTACGTGGTCAGTGGGCAAACAGCCCAAGAGTTTTGATGTCAGTTGCCAAAACAAAACACACCTGGTTCAAATTGTGATTTGCCATATTTTAGACATGGAGTGATAGAATGTCTCTTAGAGGATCCCAGTTTTAGTACAGGGAGCTAGAAGTACTTGTACTGACAGTCTCTGCTTGCCTTTTTAAACTGGTGGAGGAGGGAAACCCTTGTGGATCCATTCATTTGCCTGCTGGTAAAGTGCTTTCAATTGTAAGTACTGTATAAACATGAAATGTCAAGTTTTCTTGGTGAATATTAAATAAAAAAGATGGCTCTCCATTATAGAAATTCACTCTTAATAAACCATGTCTTCATATGGATTTTGTGGGATTTTTCTCATTTTGATATAGATTGAAAAGAAATCTTCCTTTTCTCTCCCTTCCCCCTTTAATGACGGCTGTAATCACATGCACTTTGGTTTGAATTTTAATCTTCAAATAAATTGTTCCCAACAGTGTAGCCCAGCTCTTAGTTTTGACAAAAGTATGAAAGCTCCTGAACATGCATATTTTATTTGGAAGTCATAAATCATGTAGACAGCTGCTTATATCCTATTACCTGTCAGAGGTCGCCGTTCTCCAGTCAGGTGCTGTGTTTCATTCCAAACAGTTTGGCTTGGAGAAGGCCCTTTAATGGTGGCAGCTGTTTCAGGATGCCAGGTTGCATAAAGGAGACTATAACCTAGCATGCTTAAGCTCATTCACAAAATCGTGAAAGTCAAGTTTACAACCTGTAAGAAAACCTTCACTGTTTATTCCCTGGTAACTAATTCTACCTTGGGTTAAATTCTTACTGATAAGAGTTCTGTTCCCAGATGAGATTGGCTCTGTATTGTTCAGATGTAGAAAATTATTCCTAGGGAGAAGATAGAAATTCCTCATTTTGGACTGGGAAGAGGTGAAGAAAATGAATCTAATGACACTGTGAGGGAACTTTCACTTAAAAAAAGAATTTGGCCTTTTCTCCAACTGGTTTGACTAAACTATTGGGGATTAATTAATGACTTAAATTTAGGGTTTTCTGGTCACGGATTCAAAGGACCACCAGCAGAGTGAGATAACTAAGAGAAATTTGTGATGGGACAGTTTCAAAGTTCCCAAAGGAGAAATGACTCCAAGTCATTTGTGGGCTCTTTTCCTCCTAGAAACAAACTTGGGATTTGTTTGAGAACTCCCTAGTGTAGATTTATGGCCCAAGGGCCGCTGCTGAGTTTCAAATTGACCAGAGGAGGGGCTCCCTCATTTTACAGATCCAGAGGGGAGGGCACTTACCTGAGGTTTCCCTGGTAGTGGAAGGGGCAGAGCTGGGATTTGAACCCAGTTCTTCTGGCTCCAAATCTAGTCTCTTTTTCAGTACCCCCCAGGTTTGGTGTGGGTGATCTAGTTCCCCCACAGATACTGGCCCCTCTTGTGAATCTTTGTTCTTCAGAAATTTAGAGCTGAGAAGGACCTGGGAGATCATTATCAGCCCTGAGGAGACTGAGGCTGAGGGCAGCTGACTTGTCCAAGACCACACAGGCAGTAGGCAGCAGAGCCAGGATCTCATTGGAGGTTTTCTGACCTCACAGCCAGTGCTTCCTCGCTGACCCAGCCCTGTGTTCCCCTCAACAGGCTCTTCCTAACCTCTGACATCCAGGCCATGTGGTGGGACCAGAGAGGGTTCAGCCGAAGCTGACATGTGTCCTCTCCTCAAGGGCTGATAAATCTAGGAATGGGAAGGAAGAGCATTCTTTGTACAGCCACAGGCTGTGTGCCAAAGAGCAATATAGGAAGACCTAAGTTCCAGTCGGGCCTCAGACCCTTACGTAGCTGAGTGACCCTGGGCAAGTCACTTAACCACTGTCTGCCTCAGTTTCCTCATCTGTAAAATGGAGATAATGGTACCTACCTCCCAGGGTTGTCATGAGGAACCAGTGAGATGATGTATGAGTCAAGTGCTTTGCAAACTTGAAAGCCCACTAGAAATGCTTGAGCTGCTGATTATCTAGCTCATTATTTCTCTGGGATGAGAAATGGATGAGGAGCCCTCACCTCACTCCTCATTTTCTTCCATCTTCACAGTTCTGATGACGTTCTCTGTTCAGTGTAATGAAAAAATTTAGAAGTGTGTGCATCACCAAATCTGGGCAAAGGCATCAGTGGGTGTGACTTTCCTCCTTCCATTTCATTTGCAGGTCTGGGGAGTGAAATATAATGCAAACGGCTCCAAAATCGTGTCCGTTGGAGATGACCAAGAAATTCATATCTATGACTGTCCAACTTAATCACACTCCAGACCGGGTAGGCTAATGCTGGGGCGGGGGGGAAGGAAGGAATGCAGAGAGGGATGGACCACACCATTCCCCACCTTTGTACATGTTAACAGATGGACATATGGAACACTGCGTTGTGCAGAATCTTTGGTATTTTTGGATATTCTTGATAAGTACAAATTTATATGTAGTTGTCATTTTCGTTCTTTTAATAAAGAATGCCGTATTCTCTGCACAGGTATTTAGATGTAGTATAAAATGTCTTTTAAACGCCCTTATTCCCTTTCCCTTTTCAGATAGCCTAGTTTTCTCAAGTGGATGACCCGACTGGGTCTGAACAAATTCACTTGGGAAAAGAACCGTGAGTCACTTTAATTAACATCTCTTGAAATTCAATGTTACAGCTGGCAAGAAGAGACCAGCTTTGCTTCCAAGGAGCTGTCCAGTTACATAGCCTCTTCCCCTTTTATTTCAGTGCTTAAAACAAGGCTTACGCGCCACCTGACTAGAGGTATCGAATTGTCCTTTGGTTCCCACTGGTCTGGTTATCGAACAGACTTACCTGCCTGTCGGGTGTATTTTAAGTTACACAGAAGAAGTTATTGTTGTGCACTAAAATCGAACTTCCTGCTTGAAAGTTTCAGTCATTGAAACATTGTTTTGAAAAAAGAAATAACATTCCATATAGCTAGAAAAGAAGGAAGAGAAGTTGGACCAATAAGAAAAGAATTAAGAAAAAACAAAAAACTCAACTATATTTGACAAAAAGGCAAAAATTTTCCAATTCAGGAAAAGCCAATGATGTCTTTTTGGTTCTGGGGAATTGACAGCTTTCAGGGAGATATTTCAAAGCTAAGAATTGCTCAGTCATTTAAACACTGAGCCTCAGTTTCCCTAGGGACAGCATATTCAACTACTTACCTCTATAGAATGGTAGTGTGGAAAGCACTACTATAGAAATGGTTATGATACAGTGAACAGTGAAAGTGACTTGAGTGGAGTAGCGTCCCTTAGGAAGTAGCGGAAAGCTCTGCGCTTAGGATAAGCGAGAGGAGGTCAGAAAAAGATGATGTCATAGGAAACAGACTGGCACAAGGATGCACACAATTCCTCTTTTTTCAAAGTACAATCTTTAACCAAATTCCTTTCTTAATTCTCAGATGAAGTCATATTTTAATTCTCTTTTCCTTTTCCATAGTAATTAGAGAATTACTGTTAAGACTAGCATAGAATTTGTGAGAACTCAAGTGTTGGTACCATTCTGTCTCACCCCTAGCATGGTCTAGTCAGAGATGGATGGCTTGAGAGTTAGAAAATGTGTATTCAAGTCCAAGTGATGGGACTTGGTAAACCATGGAGCTTCTCTGAGCCTCAAATTTTCTTTACAAAATGGGGATAAAAATTATCTAAACTACCTACATTACAAGATGGTTGTATGGAAAATGGTTTGTAAACGATCAAGTGCCATATGTTAATGTGATCATGTTATCTTTATAAATTGACTTTTTTAAGGGTGCTTAACTTTCCTGTTAACACAAATTTTCTTAAAAGATCAGCTTATAGGGGCAGCTAGGTGGTGCAGTGGTTAGAGCTCTGGTCTTGGAGTCAGGAGGGCCTGAGTTCAAGTCCAGCCTCAGGCACTTGACATTTACTAGCTGTGTGACTCCGGGCAAGTCATGTCACCCTGACTGCCTCATCGAAAAGCAAAAAAAACCCCAACAAAGATCAGCTTATTCTTTAAATGTAAGTCATCACGATAATTGCATTACCTGATGTAGTTTTTTGACAGCTAGTATCTGTATCCTAGAAGCCACAGTCTAATACATTCATGCCTTTAATTAGGATGAAATAGCTATACTACCTGAAATAATAAATTTTTTCTTCGTATTTGTCAGTTACACAGTTAGGAAAAGTGATACAGCCAAGTCTTGTGTCTCTGACATCTTTTGCAATGATTCCATGGGGTCTGTTCACTGGGCTGGCAGGCCTCAAGCTTTGAAACTGGCAGTGAGTTTCCTGTCTTGGAACATCATGCTTTCAAAAAGAATAAAAGTCACGTATCTTTCAAATACCAGCGCAATTTTATTTTCAGAATGACTTTAAAATACAGGTGAAAAAATTATTTAAAGTAATGCCCCTCTGTGGTCCCCATCTAGACAGTCTACTTAAACCAACAGAAGAATATAGAAAAATAAAATTGTGATAGAACTAACATTGATAAGTACTAATCATTTTTGTTAAGAAAACACAAAGTGGCGAGGGTGGGGGAGCAGGAGCCTTGATTCAGTTTAAATGGAAAACTCCATTTGTGCACAGGGAGAAAGAAGTTCACCCAATTGCTCTGTCCTGTGCCAGAATGTTACTGGCCAGGCATTGTTTTTTCCTCTAAGCGCAAAGTCCCTCATATGCTTTGAGCACTTTTGGTCACTGGGAAAGGAACCATGAACATTGTAAAATGAGGCTTAGCTCTAGGTCTTAGCCCAGCAGTTATTACCTAGTCGCTGGACCTGCCTGCGTGTCTACATTGCCTCACACATAGGTCAGAACTCAAACAATGGCCGTTACCCACTGTAGCTAAGAGCATCGTAGCTAGATCAGGTCTGTTTCAATAGCAGTATCTTGGGTTTGGCATTTTTACATTTACTACAGGTTTGGAAGAACTTAGCTGATGCCATTTCCCATTTTACTGTCAACAGCCACACCTCAGTTGTGTGTGTGCTTGTCCACTAGAACAAAGCTCTTCAGGCTGGCCGACTTACAAATGCAGTGGAATTTGATGGGCAGGTCAAGGTTAGAGAGACGTGATGGGTTGGTCGTAAAGCGGAGAGACCCATTAATGGCCAGCGACAGAGCTGTCAGAGAACAGAAGTCCTCCGAAGACACGGCGGGACCACCAGCCTGGTATCCACCGTGCAGGAGCACAGCAGAGTAGAACAGAAAGAAATGCTCGTGCGAGTATGAAGGCAAAGTTCCTCAGTCATCACTTTTTTTTAAAAAGTTAAGTTTTATGGGGCAGCTAGTAAAGAAGTGGCAAACATCAGCGTATTGAACATGGTACGACTGACAGAATTTACAGATTGTTCCTGAAGCTGCTCAGACATGGAAATAGCTTGACTTGCTCCTATTTTACTGTAGACACCCCAGCACCCGAGGGCCATGTTTGTGGCTGGGAATGTAGAGAAGGATTCTCTACAGTGAAGCTCTTTGGCTTGGCTGGTGTTATACAGGGGGCCAGCCGGGAAAAAGCAATGTCACGTGGGCGACCAGCAGGCAGCGGGGCTGCAGCCAAGCTGTATTTTCAGTATCACCTCCAGACAGGCGGTTTGGTTGGGTTTTTCCTCATACCAACAAATGTTTCGGAAGGGTTAGTAGTAATATAAGAATCCAATCCAAAACTGCCTGGCAACTCCTCCAGGTGAGGAGAGTGACCTTAGCCCCCTGTGGAGAGTGGGCCGGGTGCTGCGGGCTGCCCTTCCCATCTCAGGGTGGCGAGGCGGGTGCCTCTCGGGCCTGGGTGCTCTCTTCCTTCCCCAGAGCGGCATCTTAGCAGCAGTGGGGGAGAGCCCAGAGATGATGGTATCACTCGCTGCTGTGGGCGCAGGCTGGGGTGGGCGTGGGCGCCCACAGCTGCCTGACTGCCCTAGGGCTCCAGCTCTGATACCTGAGAACTACAACTTTCAATCAGGGGCTTCCCGAAGCTACAACCTAGAAGTGTAAATGAAAAGATTCCATATGCAGACTAGATGTGATTTACACTTAGAAACATTTAAATATAAATTAAGCTATAACTTAAGATACAACCAAGAAAGGGGACACTCAGCAATTCCTTGTGCTGAGCTCACGCACTCTCACACACACACACACACACACACACACACACACACAACACACACACACACACACACACACACGACAGTCCAGACACAAGGCCATTAAAGCGATGCCATTTTCATTGTGCCAACTTTACATTCATCAGTTTGCTAGTCTGTGCACACCACGCCACGTCACGCTGTCTGGCACTGCACTCCTGCCCTGGGACCCTCATCATCCTCTTCGTACGCTTCTGCGCTGTGGCGCCAGTTTTGTTCGTTGGGGTTAAATTCCTTGAGTTCTACTTGATCCATGTCATCTGTGACTCTTATTTTTTGTCGTGGCGGCAGTAAAGCTTCTAACTGAGGCAGTTTATCTTGAGGAAGCCAGTGTTTTTCAGGAAAGATAACCTATGTTGAGGGGAAAAGCACACATAAATGGAAGAGAAAAGGTGTCATTGGAAGACATCTTTCATGTAGTAAGAGGAAACAAACTTACCAAGAACTGTATGATGAGGGAGCCTTTCTCTAGCGGTGATTTGTAGATGGGCATGCCTTCATTATGTACACATTTCAAGTCACCGTGCTTTATCACTTCACCTGTCCATAAGAGAGGTTGGTTTTATTAGGCCCTAAGAATGAATAGTCTCTAGTTCCATGGTACATTTGAATGCAACCTACATAATAAAGTGTCAGTGTGATGTTAAGCTGGGGGTGGGGGGAGGGGGTGGGGTGGCAAAGCCTTGGAAAAGTATTATTGAGTTTATGCAATCTGTAAAGTGTCCAATGGGAAATTTAGACACAAGAATTTCTGCTCCCCCCACCTCTTTCGCCAGCATTCAAAGACAAACTTTATGAACTTGTGGCTAACACAGGCTATGTTGCCTGTGAAGGGGGCGGTGAGGTCGAGAACAGCGTCTGTCATCCGAGAAGGGCTGGGCACAGAGGCAGCTGGGAGAGTGACGCTCAGTGTCGTATGTATGTACAGTTCATGAGCACCTGGCAATATCAGAGCAGATTGCCAAACCCTTTCCTTATAGCCACACACCTCAAAGATGCTTTTGGGAGCATTTTTCCCTTTGCCATCTGGCTTCCAACATTTAACCACATATTTCATCATGTACACTGGGGAAGAAGTTGGAGGATACAATATTATGCCACTGAATTCAGCCTGAAGATAACAGTGGTCACTAACCATTATCACGAGCATATGAGGGAAAAAAACGGGGTGGGGTGGGGTGGGGCTACCAACAAAGTAATGAAGGAAAGGAGAGGATCAATCTCCTTGTCTGACAAGCAAGGATGATTGTGGGGCAAATATTACTGTCACACACGCCAGCAGTAACACCTCATGTAGATGGATAACAGTCAGTCTGAATTCCTGCAGATGTGATACAAAGTCTCATCTCCTAGCAGTCTGACACCGTGTCAGAGTTGGAGCCCCTGCTGGGGACTAGGATGTTTTCTACCTCATTCAGGGTGGGAGAGTCTTTGACGACACCCCCAACATCAAGGGGACGCCTGGTGTTGGTCACGAGGGTCTACTAGCTCCTAAGTAATAGGAAGTTCCTCCTCCTAGAGCTGAAATCTGCCCTGTCTGTAACTATATATCACAACTACAGGCTTGCCAAGGTCCAGAGCACTCTTAGTTTGAGCAAAATAAGATTTTTAAAAATAATCCACAAGTGCAGGCCAGCAGAGACCTGACTTGACAGTATTTACATGGAAGAAAAGCTAGAAGTTCTAGCTGATCTCAAGCTTGAGCTGATTACTAGTTTGTTTTTGGGGGAGGGGGGCGGGGTGTGGGTGTGTTAAAGCTAATGTACTTTTTTAAAAGGCTGTAATAAAGAAGCACAGTAGTCAGGCCACTGGTTTACACTTAACTTACACTGGTTCTGCCCTCTGGAGCAGGGGCCGCTAACTCTGGCCTGAAGACCAAATGTTGCCTCTGCCTCTTTCTATCCAGCAGTCACTGCACTAAAAAGGTTTTGTTTTCTTTTCTTTTAAAGCATTAAGGGAGGCAGCTAGGTGGCGCAGTGGATAGAGAGCACTGGCCCTGAAGTCAGGAGGACCTGAGTTCAAATATGGCCTCAGACCAAACACTTGACACTTACTAGCTGTGTGACCCTGGACAAGTCACTTAACTCCAATTGCACAAAGCAAAACAAAGCATTAAGGGCACAGTTGGCTCAAGCTTAAAGGCCACTTAAACCTACAGCTATTTCTTCCACATAAATAAACATTGTCAAATCAGGTCTGTCTGCTGGGGGGGGCGGGGAGCACCATGGGGGGAGCCCCCCAATCATTTCCTTGTGCACATAATTTTTCCAATCTTTACAATCTCAGACATGCTCTTTTGGAATTTACTTACAAAACTATTTTATATCAAAAATTGTACTTTAAAAAGAAACCCAAGTCCATCAAGAAACTAATGCCTGCACAAATTAAGAAACAAAACTAAGAGTTATCGCAGAGACAACATGGTTTCCTATAGACTAGAGCTACACATCATGTAGGACAGGGAAGGAGCACAGAAATACTGCCTGGACTGTTGCTATTAGAATTCCTATGGTATGCTGCCAGGAAATGATTCCTCACTTAGAGACTTGTGCTGGAATGATAATAAACTATAGAAAACTATTCTAGAAACAGAACCAGGTATTCTTGCTGCTCAAGTAAGAATACAGAAACGTAAGAGGATAAGATGAATTTTTGTCCTTGCCCAGTTTTGCTTCTCAACCCTGAAGTCCCTCCCAAGTTGTCATTTTTCTGTGACAAGCCTGGGTCCTCTTTTAATATAATTGGATGACTTGTGTACATTTGGGCCCCTTGACATGTATTGTTTTTTACTATAATAATGAACAAGAGAACTGAGCATGAGCATAAATGTTGGTGAAAGGAGCAAAGTTGTATGCTGTCCTCAGGGAACACAAGATTTCCAGGCAAGTGGATTTTCAAACTGTAACAGCTTATTTCTTCAAATATTAAAACCTAATTTTCAACATTTCTGACAGAAATCTTTTAAATGGTCATTTTTATTCTACTTTAAACTTTTCTACTTTAAGTAACAATAAACAACCCTTTGTCACTTGCTTCTATACTATAATAAAGTAATACTCTTAAGCTTCATTAAGGCATATTCAGCTATGCATAGACCAGGCAGCCCATGAAAAATGTATTTTTCGTGGGCTGTGTGTTGTGCAGGCCTGTTTCATGTCCTCCACATATTTTGCAGGCTGCCCAAAATCCTTTGGTGGGCCATATGTTATGCAGGCCTGGTGTAGGCTAACACTAGGATTATTGTGGGGTTTGAGTTCTTTTATCTGTTTAGCTTTTCCATCTCTTTTTGGTGGCAGCTGTTAACTTCTTGCTGCTGGTACTGTGATTGCTTCTAGCAACGTGCCTCTCTTCCCTCTGTTCTGATTGGTTCTCAACTTAAGAACTAGACAACTGGTCTTGTCAGAAGTATGTCTAAAATAAAGTGACGCAGATGGAAATATGGAGACCTGAGGGGTTAGGAACAGTGTTAACAATGGACACCAGCCACCATGGCTACTGAATTCAGGTGTCAGTCTGGGAAGCTGACCTTTCTAGATGGGTACATCTCAGCATAAATATTACTGTAGAAGAAAAGGAGAGACACGTGTGGGACTGGAGAAATGTAAGAAAGGGATGGGAGAGGAAAAGGAGAACAGAAGAAGAGAAAGATGAGGGCGTTCTGCTAAGCAGAGTTTTCTCTGCCTTCATGGGCTAAAGCCTAGACATCTTCCTGCTTTTCCATCTCTCTCCCTTCAGTCTGAGAAGCCAGCAACAATGGTCTTGCTAAGTTCTCACACTGCTGCCGGGCCTGTAAGTGTGTGGGCCTCTTGGATACATCCTGGGTTCCCTGCTCCCCTCTCTTTTGGAGGTGGCAACTGTGCCCCTGAAACAGGTCCCCACAGTAGCAGGTACCGCATGGCACACGTGCTTCTTTAAGGAGTGGCTCAAACCCTCCCCTGCACCTACACTGCACTCCACCCCACCCCACTGTGTGGAAACCTAGGATCACACATGCTTCTTGTATTGTTTGTAAGGGGAGAAAATATTTAGAAATATATATTTCATATCATTCAAGCATGACTGGTAGAAAAGAAGAAAGAGGTATGGTGGGTGGGTGGAACAGATGAGTGAACACCAGAGAAGAGATGAGAGACTAGAGAGACATAGAAGAGATGATCCCTGGAGGGGCCAGTCAGTTCTGAAGTGTTAATTCATGACCCCGCTCCTCTTTACTCTCAGCTTTGGGCCACAGGGCGTCATCACTCAGTCTGGGCTTTGACCAACCAACCCATTGGCCATTTCACTCTTATTTCTGTTTCTTCAACCCTCGCTCCTTAAACCTATAAAGACTAATCGGAGTGGTGCAAACTCATCAACTGAGGGAGAAGTCATTGTGACCAGGCCAACGACATGGAGAAAACCTGTTAAAAAACGGCTCTCGTGAACCTTTCGTTCGAACCCTTCACAGACTTCACATCTGGACTCTAAGCCCTGTAACCCATTTACATCTGAGGGGTCGACTTCATCAGGCTCCTCCACAGTGTTTGGAAAAAACTACTACAACTGCTGCTGTTCTTTCAGAAGCCACTGCAGGATAAACTAAAACTGGGCAATCATTGGTCAAATATCTCTCTAGAAAAATTCCGTGTGTGTGTGTGTGTGTGTGTGTGTGTGTGTGTGTGTGTGTGTGTGTGTGTGTGTGTGTGTGTGTGTGACAGACTGAGATGTCTGTTTTTACTTTACCACCAGGGCCCAGAGGAGAGTGTGTAGATGTATTAATCTTTTTGTTTTTCTCCTTCATAGTATTTTCCCCCAGTTACATGTAAAGATAGTTTTCAACACTCTTTTTTGTAAAATTTTGAGTTTGGCTGGAGTAGTCTGGACCATTGCTATTGGAAAAAATAAACACATGGCCTAATGTCAATAGTGTTGTCTTCTTATAATAAAGGACAGAAAAGGGGGAATGGGGAGGCAGTAGGAGAACTGGAGGCAAAGTGAATTCACTGAGCTTGACTGAAGATGACTCGTGGTGAGTGACAGGAGCAGAGAAATCCCACCGAACTTTCACAGGCGAACATACAGAATGATATATAACAGACCTGCCCCAAAGCTCACCTGCCTTAGAAGTTATAACAAGAGTTCGATTATCCAGTGTTTTTATCGTCTTTTTGAAGCCACACAAAGCTTCAGTGAGCTGAATTTTCATTTTCATGATCAAGTCATGGCCTCTTCTCTGAAAGACACCATGATCCTTCTGGTCAAGCACGATGATGACATCACCAGGCTCCAGCTCAGGCTCCTGATCTCCTTCTCCATGAAACATAATCTTTTGTCCATCTTTCATACCTAGGAAACATCATCCCTTGTTGATTGACCATTCTCTTAAATACAGTCCTTTTTTGTAAGCCTTTTTTTCAAGGGGGGTGGGAGGAGATAAGCATTTGTATAGCACCTACTGTTATGTGCTGGGCACTGTGTTGAGCACTTTACAAATATCTCATTTCATCTTCACAACAACCCTTGAGAGAGGTAGGTGATATTATTATCCCCATTTTACAGTTGAGGAAACTGAGGCAGACAGAAGGTAAACGACTTGCTCAGGGTCACACAGCTACTAAGTGTCTAAGGCTAGATTTGAACTCGGGTCTTGCTGACTGCAGGCTCTGAGCTCTATCCACGGAGCCACCACCTGCCTCCAAGGCCTTCACAGGCATCTCTTTAACACGACCTCTGTAGCAGGGGGCTGGGATTATCACCACCTTTTTACAGATGGGAAGATAGGAAAGGAGAAGTCAAATGTTATAAGTCATGGTCATGCTGCCAAGTCAGTAGCAGTTTGGAATTGGACTAATGTTTCTATATGCCATTTGGACTTGTGTGTAGAGGTCACTCATAATTCTCATTCTGTGATATATGTAGGTGTAGCTTGCACTACTAAACCCTAGCAAAGTAATGCTGATATGCAGACACAGCAATAATGTAACTTGAAATTTAAAAGACTTAAAATTAGCACTGGACTTTTTGATAATGCTTTTGTTATTGTTTTTGCAAGGCAACTGGGGTTAAGTGACTTTGCCCAGGGTCACACAGCTAGTGTGTATCATGTGTCTGAGGCCAGATTCGAACTCAGGTCCTCCTGACTCCAGGGCCAGTGCTCTATCCATTGTGCCACCTAGCTACCCTGACACTGAGTTTTGTACTTTCTTCAGTAGTTAGATGGGGAATTGTTTGCTGTTTATAGAAGGTATTCATATATTGATTGGGCAGTTTTTTTTAAGAGGAGTTAAATTTGAAAGAAGGCTGTGATGTTGTCTGGTAGGCATCAAGAATGGCATTGAGCCTGATTCCTATGTTGGGACAACTGGATGGAGCAGGAAGGGAATATTATGATAAAATTTGGCTTCAGTCAAAAGGCCGCACTTAAGGACCTAGAAGGCCACAGGTTCCCTACCCCTGGGCTAAGCTTTTGAAAGATGGCAGGTCACAGTATCAAAAAAGGGGGAGAAGAGAAAAACCCAGAAAAGAAAGACTGCAGTTATCCACAAAGAAATCCTTGTGTCTATAATAGAGTTAGAGGCAAGAAGCATTAAGGAAAACATGACAAAATCTATGACAGATTTTATTTCTCCATCTATTGTGTTTAACTGGATTAGGACAGAACCTTATACAAGGATGAGAGCTTACTTGGATAACTGGATGTTCTCTGGGAAAAGAAGATCAGGGGTAGGGGTGGGAGGCTGATGTTAACCCTGGGGCCTCACCTTTTTCTATGTGAACTTCTATAATTTTTTTCTCTCTTACAACTTTACAGCCATTACAATTCTCACACCGGTCCTTGGGGTTAATTCGTTCACCTTGGCCTTTACATTCAAGACATACTGTTTGAATCTGCTGGACCATTCCTGGCCCAATCTGCTGGATGTGAATTTGCATTCCTCTCCCTTTGCAGATGGGGCATTTTTCAACGGATCCCTTTTTCCCACCAATTCCTAGGGAAGCAAAACAAAAATGATATTTATGATCTCCTCAGAGTTAATCAGAGCAAAAGAGTCCGAAAGCTATGATTGTGGCCACACGTTTATACTTTGACTGTTCCTTTGAAAACATTATGTACAGAATGAAATAGAAGACTTAAGTTAAAGAAACATTGAATGAAATAATTTTGTTTTGGTCTGAAGTTTCCTGAAGACCACCTTAAAAGGAGTACTTTTTTGTTGTTCAGTCATTTTTCAGTGCCGTCCATCTCTTCATGACCCTTTTCTGGGTTTTCTTGACAGAAACAGTGGAGTGGCTTGCCATTTCCTTCTCCAGCTCATTTTACAGGTGAGGAAACTGAGGCAGACAGGATTAAATGATTTGCCCAGAGTCACATAGCTAGCAAGTCTGAGGCCAGATTTGAACTCTGGAAGATGAGTCTTCCTGACTCCAAGCTCAGCACTCAATGCACCAGTTACAAAACGGTTTTGTTGCCTTTTTTTTTTTTAATGTGTATTAATAAATTCATAGACTTTGAAATGGCATAAAATTTCAGTTTTCTCTGGCAGGCAGTAAATTTATACTTTGTCAGAAAGCAAACTGTGTATGTAATAATGAAGAATTCTGGGGCAGTTGAGAGTGTGTGTTATATTTTACTTTATTAGTTTACAAGATATGTACATTTCACTCTAAAGTCTGGGAAGTATTCCTCCTGCCCCCCTCCCCCTCCAAATTCATTACCTTCACATTTTTCACAAATTACATTTTTCTGGAGTGCTAGTTTCCTTGTTACTCCATTATATATGTCTTCAAGCGATACAGACAACTGATGCACGACATTCTTGCCTTCCAAGAAAAAGTACAGCAATGTAAGGACAAATGCATTAGGAAACCTCATCGGTTCAGGCTTAATACGAGCCACCCTAAAACAGGACAGTGCTTCTGTCTTATCTAGTGTTTCTCTTTGGCCAGCAGGGGAATAAGCTCAGAGAGTTTTTCCATCTCTATATTTCAGTGAATTAGGCTGTTCTCATCACTTACAAGTTACCTCTTAATCTGAGAGTCCTGCATCTTAGTTTTAGCTAAAAATTTACTTCCCAAGTTAGTTTTCTTAGAGCAAATCTGAGTGAGGCAGAAAGGTCACCCTGTACTCAATATAAAGTAAAGCAATATAAACAAAGAGACTGTTTAAATAATAAGCCCACTGATTCCTGATAAACACTTAGTTGAAGCTTATTTCAGGAAGGTAAAAACCAGACTTCCAACCAAAAAACAAAAACAGACTTCCTAAATCACTAAAAAAGATTTTTTTTAAAGCAGCGAAATAAATATATAAGCTAAGTCTTAATGGACCTATTATTATAAATTTTTAAAAGCTTGATAGTTTTGTAGGAAGCAAAGAAATATAATAGGTTAAAGGAAGTGTACCCTAACCATTATTTGGGATGGAATGTATTAATATAATTCTCATTAAAATGGTGCATTTTAATTTTTAGTATTCTTTGTCTTTTTGGAACTGATAATCTAGGTCCTTCTAACGTGGGTTAGTAAATCAGTAAAAATAAGTACATTCATAAGTGCCTAACTTACTGAAGATCAGATATTTTGGCTACATTGAGAAAAAGCAAGTTAAAAGGGTTTCTAAGCAGTAAAAAAAGATTAAGCCTCCCCCTTTTTCAAAGGGCCCTATTTATTTTTAATTTACAAACAATTCTAATAAATTGGTCGTTTGTTTTTCCTAGCTGTACATCAGATTATAAACAGATTAATTAAAGGGTAGAAGAGAGATAAAGGGGAGTGGGGTAAGGGGGGGGGAGGGCAAGGTAACTGAGAAATACCAAAGAAAAATTCAGAAACAAATTACTCTGAAAAGCATAAGTCTGGGGCCATTCGTACCCCTAACAACATACCTCTATTGCTGCTGAAGGCACACTGCTGAGTTACCCCACCATATAATAACCCAAGTTCATAAAATACCTCAATTCAATTAGACAATAGGTAGAAGTGAGAGGGCGGGAGAAGCTTCAGTTAACTGGAATGTTCACCTTGTGGAACACCTCATTACCCAATAAAGGATCAATGAAGCTTTATTTTCTACTTTGAACACAAGGCAGGCAGAGCCCAGCAACCAGGGAAGCTGATTCAATCAAAGAGCATTTATTTAAGCAACAGTTAGATGCCAGGTGCTGTGCTAAGCAACTGATTTTGTTGGTATATGGGCAAGGCATTTAAAAAACCCCCCACACTTGTCTTGTGGAGGGGGAGGGGAAGAAGACTATTTGGTTTCTAAGCAATTCTTTGTAACAGAGGTTTGTAACCTCTTTGGGGGAATGTCATGGCACTCTGACACTTTGGCAGGCTGGTGAAAACCTTTGAACTTCTTTTCTCAGAATAATGTTTGTTGCCTACATTCGTAACTGAAGGAAATGTTAAATCTCACTTATTAGTGAAAATAAAAGTTTTTTTCCTATCCAAATTCACCCCCCCCAATCTATTCCTGTACTCCCAGAACCCCTGTTCTATAAGGAATATTTTACCTTTATATTAGTAAACTAAAGAATACCTAGTAACAATGAACTTACAAGACAAATTATTTCTAGTACTCAGTATTACCTATATTCACATAATCCAGAAGATAATTAGGGTTAGACTACTATATAGAAGTATATAAAAGTTCAGTCTTTTTAATTCTCTTGTTTATTATGAACTTAAGAGTGGCATAGGAGAGGGCCCTTGTGTGTATGGTTCTGGTACATTTAAGACTTTTAACCTTTAAAAGGATCCCCCCCCCCCCATTTACCTCTTCTCTCTCTAGTCATCCGGCCTCCACCGCCAAAGAACATGTCAAAGATGTCCATGGGTGAGGAGAAGTTTCCGCTCGCTGTGCCTCCTTCTTTAATAGCCTGCTCCCCGCCCTGGTCATAAATTTCCCTTTTCTTTACATCTGAA